TAATCAGGATTTGAAAACCTTAATTCTTCACCATATTATATATTTTGAACAATTAATAGTTGGTAAAGGTCTTTATCTAATATTATACAGCGATCTCAAACACAAATCCTTTGGATCTCTTTTACAAATTAGAAAGATCCCAAACTGGTATCTTAGATTACAACAAAAAGTTATTAACAATTCAGTTTATTACTTTCACAATTTGTATCTAATGTTTCACATCTATCTACTTTTGTTGTTTCCACTCTAGACTAAAATCAAAAAAGAATAAATTGGACTACTTTCTAAGACAACACCTATTAACAAATAATTACGGGCGTTCAATTAAAGTTCTTACTCAATCACATTTTGTTCTTTTTTATATATAAAATTTATTACAAGACCCACTTTCCTTTAAAAAAGTAACATATTTACATAGCATTTCCTGGCTGTTATATTAACTCAAAGAAAGATAAATTAGACTCCAACTTACCTAATGTTTCTGATATTAAATATACTTTTTATGTAAATTGTGGTTTACTAAATATAATTGATGTTAACAGTTTAAAAGGAACCAATACTAGATTAATAGATTATATTTATTTAACTAAAAGATCTTTATTTACACTCTCTGATCAATCTTTTTTTCTTTATAACAGATTTTATAACATTAATATCTCCTCATAACAGACTTTAGAATTCTCTAAAAATTTTTCACATAATACAAATTTTCTTAAAAAATTGATTGTTAATCAAAACACTTATTAATATCTTTTATATCTTCAATAACAGCTTTACGTATTATATTTACACAACTCTCAAATCTTAAAATTCTACACAGATGGTTCTCACCTTTTCAATTCTGAAAATTTGTCAACAAACCTTAATTTAGCTTTAGCGTTTATTAAAAATGATAATTTAGAATTTTTTTCTCAACTGCTATTACTCCCATTTGGTCTAATTTATTTCATGCCGAAATTATGGCTATTTTATTAATCATACTTTTGTTTTTCCCATGTTCTAATATTATAATTTATACAGATAGTCTCTCTTTAATTCAAACTTATAAAAAAATCAAAAAATACAACATTCTAAATTACTCTACTCTTCTTTTTAAAATCCCCTTTTATATTTATTGGTCTTATATTTTCTTTTTAATAGATATTAAACCCTTACAAGTGAAATTCATAAAGGTCAAAGCTCACTCAGAAATTAAATGAAATGAATATGTTGATACTCTAGCCAAAGATGCTTTATTTGATACCCCAATGGAATTAATTTTTGATGATGCCCCTCATGCCAAATATCTTCCTAAATTTCAGAATCTTATAATTAATAACAGTTTGATCTTTTATGAAAACAATTGCAATAACTCAAGGATTTATTGATTTTTTCTACCTAAAAAGAAATTTTAAATACAAATTTTTTCATATAAACTGGCTCTGTACTTTTACTAATTTGAAAGGACATCTAGACTCAAATTCAACTTCATTTGAAAACTCAAAACAACACAGCTAAAGAATCAAATACTTAACTAAACAACTTCCTATAGTAGAATTTTTAAAATCTACACAAAAACACATTTATTATAATTCATGGAAATGTTGTTACTGTGCTTTAGAAAATGAAACTTTTGATCATATTTGGCTATGTACTTCCAGCTTATCAACTATGACTAATATCTTAGACTGTACCAAAAATTTCCTGCTACATTAACTTACCTCACTTCATTTTATGCCTTTGACTTCATTAATCCACTATTTAAATACTGATGATCTTTGGACTATCGTCTCTAGAAATGATTCCTTAACTTTTATTGATCTTATCAAAGACATTATTCCATCAAACCTTTTCAATAACATTTAATGTATTACAAACTTACAAAAACACACTTTTAATATTCTATCAAATTTGACCATGTATCTTTATAACCGATCTCATAATAATATTTGGCTTCCTAGATGTGAATTCATGATTGAAAAGAAAATCTTTACACATCTCAGATAAACAAAAAAGAAAATATGATAGATCCTCTACATTTATATTTAATAGATACATTAATTTCTCTTTCTTTTCTAACCAACCTATTTTACCAATTGATTAATTTAATCAGACTATCTATAATATATGGCAGAGATTGGATACTCTTCTTGGATCGGTAATAGCTAGTTGTTTTTAAATTTTTCAAACTTTTTCTTTTAATAGACAGTCATGATAAAACTTATGTATATACATTTGTTTTTAAACTCGACAAGACAACTGGCTGATTTGGAGGAACCTGGTCTTTTATAGATTTTGAAATGACTCTAGACAATAATTTTGTTTATGTTGAATTACATTGATAATATTTTAGTTTTTACTTTTTAAAATTTAATAAAATTATATTACTGTATCTAAAAAAAAAAAAAAAAAAAAAAAAAAAAACTGATCTGATTTTGATGAATTTTAGCTTGTTAGAATCACCGTACTGAGGAGAATCAGAATCCAGCATTGGTTTGAGTAGCTGGCCTACTGAAAAAAATTTTTTATACTTAAATTTCATTAAGTAAGAAATTGTGATATAGATCACTAAATTGTGCAAAATTGGTCTTAATAATCGCACTTCAAATTTTTACTGAATATTTTCTAGGTTTTGAGATTTAGAATAAATGCAAAATTATATTCTTAATATTCGTGGTTAACGAGATATAAGCTTATAATGATGTGTAATTCTGGTTGCATTTTTTTTGCTTACCACTGTATATAAGTTTTTTATAAACTATTAAATATATTGAATATGAATTAAATATTATTTAAAATATTGTTTTATTATTTTTAATTCATATAACCATTTTTATTTAATAGGTTTTTGATGATTTTTTAAATTATAATCTAAAAGTTTTTTATAAAGTTGATGTATTAATTCTGCTTTCATATTTAAAGAATTATTCTTATTACTTTTATTATATTTATTATAAAGGTAAAATGCTAAATTAATAAGATTATTGTTCTTTTTTAATAGTAAATCAAAATTTTCAAATGCTATATTTTCAAAATTCATTAATACAATTTAAGTAGTATATAATTCATAAGAAATACAAAAAGAATTAGCATTTGCTATTAAATTAAAATGTATTATTGTATCTTCTTTTTCTGTTGATATATATGCTATATTATCTGTAAACTAAAAATGAATCTAATTGATTTTCATAACTAGTATTTAAAATAGCTATTACAATATTTTTTCCATTATAAATCATATCTTCTATTTTAATAACAATTATTATAATTATTATTAATCTATTTTTTAATGTGTAGTGCAAATAATCAATATTTTTTTTCTTTATAAATACTTTTATCTACCATTATCCTATATTCATAAAATTATAAAATTGTAGCATTTTTTTATTAGTATTGCTAATATATTAGCAGAAATCCTTTAGTAGATGTAGTAGATGTTTCTCTAGTTAAGAATTCATATATAGTTTTAGTACTTTCAATAGTTGAATTAATAGAATTATTACTTATATTGCTAATTTCAGTTGCTAATTTTACAAATTAAGGAATATATTTAGTTTAAATGATTTTTTAACTAATTTTTGTAATTGTTTTGGTATTGTTTTTTTGCTTTTTTGAATAAAAGAACGTGTTTTAAAATTTGTTTAACTTTAAAAGAATTAGCTTTAGCTACTTTTATATTTAAAGAATGAATTTGTTTTTTAGAATTCATAGCTACTTTTTTGAGTTGATTATTTCTTTTCTAAGAGATTTTGCCTTTTCTTAAATAACAATTGCATTTGATTTATGTTTATAAAATCCAACTTTAATAAAATCATATACTTTTTTTTTTGGAAATAAGGAGATAATATTTTTCTAACATTTCTTCCTTTAGGATATACCATAATATTTAATTGTGATGTGCTCTTTCTATTTGTGAATCAGATAAAGAATGTATAATTTTAATAACCTACATTTTTTGAATGTGCAGTTATTTTCATTTAAATTATTAAAAATTTCATTAATATTATTATCATTTAATTCATTAAGTTTCTTTATTATAAGTTTGATCTTAGTGTCTTTTTGAGAATTATATTCATTATAATTTTTTTGTTGAATTAATTCTTTAAAATTACAATTTTGTGCTTTATTCAAATGTTTAGCTTGTTTTTTTAAAACACAGCATTATTAATAAAATCAATTAATATTTTTAGAGTTATTGATAATAAACTTTAAATGTTTATTTTTTATTTTTTTTCACTTCCCAATTTTGAAAGTGCTACCTCTATTAGTTCTGTCAAAAGTAAATTTGAATAAATTATCCACTACGGTAAATAAAATCCTCAAATAAGGATCGGCTTATTTGATAATATTTAAAACTTAATAAAGTAGATCATCCTATCAATACCAAAATAATACAGTCAATTCTCTATCTATAACGAACTCAGATATAAACAACTTTAAATTTTAGGTTTTACAATAGTTTGTTATAAAAATTGAATGTCCTTATAGAAATCATAATAAATTTTTTATAAACTTTATAGAAAGAGTCGACTTAATTTGTTTAGAATCAGTAAAAGTAGTAGCTTTTTCCATAAATATTAATAAAATAGGAACTCGAAAATTCCCAAAATAAACAATTTATCATTAGCAAAAACCCAAATGTAGCAATTAATTAAATACGCGTAATAAATTTTTTTAATATCGTGAAACATTGATAATCATTGATAATCAACTATTTTTGGTGGACATCGTGCAGTGTTTCGGTCTTGGATTACTTTTTTTTACTGTCTAGGAACTCGAGGTAAATTCGCCTAATTAATATAATTGATAGACAAAAATAAAGTAACTTTTAAAAGTCGGAGTGTGGTTAAAAACTTTTTCCGACATTTTTAGTATTTTGATTTACAATGATTATAAAATAAATAAATATCACCTCATTTTTCTTTCTTCGCGATCTTACACTCTTTACGAAAACTTAAATTTATATCTATTTGATTATTTATTTATTCTCTTTTAGAAAAAACAACTTTAGAACAGTAAAAATGCCAGGACGAATGCTCTTTCGATATACTCGTGAAGAGGTGGCCAAACATAATACTATTTCAGATCTTTGGGTAATTTATAATAACAAAGTTTATGATGTGACAGAATTTGCGGAGGATCACCCGGGTGGACCAGAGCTAATTAGAGAGTGGGGAGGCAAAGACGTGACAAAAATTTTAGTTGACCCAACTTCACATGTACATTCCGACGTGGCATACGAGGTTTTAGCAGATTTATGTATGGGGGAAATAGTTGAAGGACCTTTAACGGGCAATACTTTGAGTTTAATGGATAATAAAACTACAGACCACGATAAAGGTTTTGACGAAAGAACAGCTGATCGATTTCACCCGCAGACCACCGATATTACGTATGATTTTCACAAAGAGAAATTCCTTGACCTTAATAAACCATTGTTTGAACAAGTGGTGAATAGTAAATTTAGCAAAGAATTTTACCTTGAGCAAATTCATCAACCACGTCATCTTCCGTATTCGGCAAAGATATTTGCGAATCCTTGGTTAGAAATTTTAACAAAAACTCCATGGTATGTGATTCCAATAGTATGGATTCCACTTATATCATATCACATATTCATGGCATCAGAGTTAGGATCAAGACCTGTTACGATATTATTCTTCATTGGTATCGGAATTTGGACCTTATTAGAATATGGACTTCATAGATATTTATTTCATGTTGATTCATTTTTACCCGATCATCCTTACGCACTTACATTGCATTTTACTTTACATGGAATTCATCATTATTTGCCCATGGATAAGTAAGTTTGAAGTGAAAAATAATATATGATTTTTAAAAAATGTCAAGATCATTATCACTTAAGTATATAATATTTTTATTCTTTAGGCTTCGTCTTGTAATGCCTCCGGTTCTTGGATTCGCGATTGCGTTGCCAATTATGCAATTCGCATATTCGGTTTTTCCAATTAAAATTGCTCACGCTTTAATGGCAGGTGCAAAGTTTGGTTATATATGTTATGATTTAACTCATTATCATCTTCATCATGCTAGACCTTTTGGTAAACATTTGAGAGAGATGAAAACTTATCATTTAGGTCATCATTACAAGAATTATGAGTTAGGCTACGGAATTACAAGTAAAATGTGGGATTATGTGTTTGGGACAATTTTGGATGAGTGATTATCATCTTTTTTTTTTATTAATATATTATTTACCACGCATGCATATTTTATAAGATAGTTTATCAAATTCTACTTTTTCTTTTTATATGAGCTAATAATAATAGATTTGTAATATGTAATTTCATATGACTATTAACTGCGGTATGCAATTAATCACATGATATATAATTTGTGACATCAGAAAATCATTTTTAATAATCATATGAAAATAAGTAATGTTTGGAGGGAAACATATGGGGCGTCTTTGAGTTCAGACCGGTAACTAAAGGTTATCAAGTAATCTATTACGTGCTTCATTTTTTTTATTCCCATTTTCTTTTTAACATGATAATATCTTTCTCTTTATAATACAATGCATTATCTATATAATTCAGTATTGTTTATTGTTTTCTTTTTTTTTGTTGTTAAATATGTTTACGCCCAAGTACATTTTACATAAGAAGCGCAGGTACTTTGTTAAAGGCGCGTTCATTTTTGAATGAATCATAGGAAAAGCGGAAAATTTTACAACATATTTTATTTAAAAAAATTTGCTTTTTAGGGAAGGATATGATGTTGTTACGTAAGATCATCTGACTAGGTAGGAGAAAGTTATCTATTCATCTTTTTTTTTTTTTTTTTTTTTAAAAAAAGAGATGAGAAGTAAGTTGTAGATTAATATTTAAAAGTAAATTTGGCGTTTTTGATAGACATACTATATCATAATAGGAGTTAACGAGTTGCTCATTAAGCTATAATTTTAGTTTTTTCATAACCGTGGTAAAAAAAAAGTGGTTGATTTGAGAGATACACGAACTTTTTAATGATCGGTTGGGGTAAAACAACGTGTTTGTAGACATATGTTTAAATATCATTGGTCATTGTTCAGAACGGAATAATTCTTAACCAAAAATTGTTACGAAAATAACGAACTCGATTTAGTAATGAACATACGTTATTATTGAAAAGTTCGTTTTTCTGTATTTTTTTCCTGTTTATGTTGAGTGTGAGCGTGTGAAAAATGAGTATTTATCCTTGGGTAAAAATAATAAAAAACTTGAATTCCCCTTTCTTGTTTTCCATGATTGTTAAATTCCTTTTTGATTATAGAAAATTTCTCAAACTAAAAAAAAAAATTCTCAAGATAAAGACTTTTTTTATTGTATCATTTTCTTTTTCCCTTTTCGAAATTAATTTTCTTTTAAATGTGATTATTTCCTTATTAAAAAAAAATCCCATTCAAAGATGGTTACCAAATTCTTCCCTAATCCAACTAAATTAAAACGTGATTAAAAATTTCAGCCATTTATTCCAATAATATCCCTTATCATACTTTTATCAATTTTATCATCCCAACTTGATAATAATGAAAAAAAAAATCCCTTGTCAGGAAAACTTGTTTTTTCGTCTTATGATCGTGTACTACTTTAAATCATTTTGCATTTAAATATATTATTGTAGATTCTTTAAAAGGAGGATTAACCATATACTTGAAGTATTTTGACGCTAAGACTCAATCATTTCTTTGTTCACAAAAAAAAAAAAAAAAAAAATTCTAATTAGATAAAGTGATGTTCATTTACTGTATATATATATATATGGTCTTTATATTCAATGAGCCAAAAAAAAAAATTAACAAATATATATATCTATTGCACCTCCACTAATTTCTTTCTTCAATCAACTCCTCGACATCCTTTTAATCTTCCCCTCTTCTTATTTTTCTTTTAAAAAATAAAAATAAAAAAAGGCGTCTATGTATAGTCATTTTTTCTTTTAATAATTAAATTTATTCAAAAAGAAAACTTTTTAAAAAAAAATAGGAATTTTGGATTGAGCAAATTATTTATTCTTTTTGATTACATTCATATTTTATTTAAACCTATAAGGAAAATTATTGTTTTTACGCGGCTTTTGAATATCATTTTGGAACATTGTATGCCTACACCTATACTTATCAAACTACCAAAACGAAAGACATCCCAAATCATCTGGTATGCAAAAAATTTAATGTTATTATTACCGAATTTTCGGATGTTTGATATTCATTTAGTGTGCATAATTATATGTTACAGCGTATTTATTTGTTTGTTTTTTTTATTTTTGACGATCATCAAAAAAATTTTTTTTCGATTAGGAATCCAAAAAAATGACGAGCGAAGATGATTCTCATGAAAAATCTCAATTCATTCCAACTAAGTTCAAATGGCAGCAATGGGGTGATCATGTTTGTATAGCTGGTTCATTTGATCCTCCAACACCATCATGGACTCCAATTGAAATGCCAAAAAATTCAAATGATGTTCACGAAGTCGTTTTGGATTTATTACCAAATAAAAAGTATTGTTATAAATTTGTTATTGATGGTAGTTGGGTTTTGGATCCTTCTTTACCGAAAATCTCTGATGAACATAATAACGAGAATCATGAAATTTGCGTGGATCCCGTTTCTGATGAAAAGTCCACCGAGAAACCTGTTGAGGAGGAGAATAATGAGAATGGAGAAAATCCTCAACTCGTTCCACAAATAGTTGAGGATCAAACGGAAATGAATCAGGACGATGAAGTAGTTGTAGAATTAAACGTCCTTGAGGAAAATGATCAATTTTTCAATGAATCCTTGGACCAACGGGCACAAATGAATCAGAACGATGAAGAAGTTGGAGAATTAAACGTCCCTGAGGAAAATGATCAATTTTTCAATGAATCCTTGGACCAACGGGCACAGACCGAAAAAAGTTTCACACAGGCGCCCGAAATTGGAGAACCTTCCTCAACGGCCTCAATCATAGATAACGATTCCACAAAAGGAACAATTCTTGAACCTGATGTTAAGTTATCCGCAGAAAACGTCGCAATTGAAAATCCTAATGAATTTCAATCAAAAGAATCACATGAATCTGACGGAACGTCACAAATTATTACCGAACCTATCAAGGTATTAATTAAACCCGTTGAAAACGTCGAAGATATCGATAAAAAAAGTATTTTTCTTGATCAAGAAAGGAAAGGGGGAGCAGACGATGAAATTTCATCAAATATTCCGCCACAAGGAACCGTTCAAATTGAAGATCCAAAAAATTCGGCCACCTCTGAAAAAAGTGAGCAAATTCCAAAAGTTGCAGAGAAAATTGAGGAACCATCGAAAGAAGAATCTGACGTTGGAGTCTCCTCCAAAATTGAAATGGAAGCAGAAATAGCATTTGAATCTGAGCTTGACCCTCTTAATGAAGACGAAGATGAAAATGATGATTATGACGATTATGATGACGATAATGGAAATACCGTTACAGCCGATACAACGGTGGTGGATCCATCTGAATTGGAAATTTTCAATAATTTTTCTTGGGCTAAAGATGATTTGTCAGACGATGATGTTACTAGTTCATGGTTAGAACCACCAGTGCCAGATTATATTGAACCACCTTCTGAATGGACTGTAGGTAAAAATGATTCCGTTGTTTGGGCTGAAGATTCTCCGGATTCAAGCATTCAATTGCCAAATATCGTGGAAGTTTACGCAAATAAAGAACAATTATCAAGTACCTGGAGTGATGAAACGACAACTGAGCAGATTAAACATTCAAATGAGGCTTTGTTAAATGAAATTCCATCATCTACAAATATAAATGATAGTTTGGAAACTCTCCTAGATAAGAATGATGAGGAGCCACCCGTAAAAACAACCCTTGTTGCGGAAGAAAAGAAAGAAAAGAATAAGGTCCTTAAGTTCAAGGAGAATGTTGTTGAATCTGATCAAGGTGTTATTATTAAAAATAAACTGGTTATTAAAGAAACCATTACCTGCCCTCCATTTAAGGTAAAAGAAAAAGTAGACGAACCATCATTGGTTGATACTGCGTATTTAGAACCAGAAAGTAGTGCTACAGCTTTTATGAAGATACCGTCAATGTCCACAGTTGTTGCAGCACCAGTAATCGTTGATAACACAATTTCACAAGACTATCAAGGTCAAGATATTGAAAAAGGAACTCAATCAATCTCGAATGCTCCGGCTGGCAAGATAAGTCAACGTAAGATCATTTCGTTTTCACCAAATGCGTCACCTGGTGAATCAACACGAAATGCTGATACATGTATTCAAAATATAGCTACCTTGTCATCACGAGAAATCGTATCAACTCCAACCAAAGAAACAACCACCATAAAGTCCAAGGTCAAGAAACCTAAAGAGATGTTAACATCTCGACCAAAAGATCAAGTTTTAGCTGTACAACGTAATGATATTGTAGATAGTGGGGGTGGTTTGATCATTTTGGTCACATCATTAGCAACGACGTTTACCCTTGGAATAATTTCGATGTTATATAAAGCCGTTTTCGGAAAGGCAAAGAATAAATAGTGTGTGGCTGTAAGGTGATGTCAAATTGAATATTTGAGTCTCGGGCGACCTGACCCTTTTTTTTTTTTTAAAAAAAAGATATTTTTCTTAATTTATTTGTTTGCTGACAAGAATATACATATATATTTATTTATATTTGAACAGTTGGTTTCGATTTACAATATGATTACGAAATTTTTTTTGCATGTATATTTTTAAACTTCAACATTTATCCCACCTTTTTTTTTTTTTTTTTAATAAACATCCCCAATCCAAAGTATTATTTAATTATATATTAAACGACGTTTATATTTTCTTGGAGAATTTGTCTTAACAGAAACATTTTATTGATTATTAAATTAATCGATTTATTATTCTTATTCCTTCAATCCTTTTATAATATTGAATAATATGTAAAACCCTAATTCTTTTTGCTTTTTTTTAAAAAAAGAAACCTTTTACAGGTCAGGATACTTTTTTGACAGATTGTTTGCTAGCTGAATTTGGCGAAATCGGGGAGCAAAATTTGTATTAATGCCATTTTTTTTTCTCTTAATACACCTACATATTGAATGATTTTTTTTTAAAATATATATATATATATATTTATAATCTATCTGACCATATAATTAAGGTTTAGGATTTTTAATAGATTGAACATATTGATAGTTTTTTATTTTTTAAGAATTTTTTTTGTATATTTTTTTTTTTTTATTTATTTTCATTAAATTACTTTCTTCAAGTGATTCATTTATAATGAGATTTATTGTCAATAAAAATTAGTTATGTAAATTTTGCTGTTATAAAATAAAAAAATATTATTAATGTTTTTTTACTTAAAATAATCATTTATTCATTTATTTCATATCATCATTCACCTCTAATTTTTGGCCGGCATTATAGAAAGTTTCACATCGAAAAAAATTCTAGTAAAAATGAAAAGTATAACAAATTAAAGTTCTTTCTCATATGACTTGATTATATATATGAAGTCAAAGTGAAAACACAAAAGTCGAAATGATGTCATATCACATGATTTTTCATATATATAAAAAAAATTTGTTAAAAATGAACAATCTTGGTTAATATTGCTCCATTTTTCATAAGTTAACAACCATTTGATTTCTCTTATTAGACCGATCTAATAAGCTAATGTTTATTGATTTTAGTTAAAATTTTTTTTTATTTTAATAGAATTTATTGAATTATAATTTTGGCTAATAATTTAATTAATTATTTTGAGATTGGCTATTATCAATAAATTATAGCATATTATATCTATCAAGTTATGAGAAATCAAAATTTTTTTGTATTATTCTTTACTCAAAATATAATATTAATAGAATAAATAATTCAACTGAAATGATATAAAAGCATAATATGATTATTTACAATATTAAAAATCACATAACATTATTTCAAACCTGTTTAATTCACCTAATAATTTACCTAATAAGTATTATTATCTGAATAAGATCTTAAGTTAGATTCATAGATACTAACTAAGTATTTAAACATATACTCTATAAATAATCTGTATAAGAAAAGTATACATAATTTTACATAGATTTTTTACATCTAATCAGTATATTGTATATGTTATTTTAGTTGAATTTTATATATCTAATTAATATATTGCATAATCAGTATATTGTATATGCTATTTTTGATTAGATTTTAATATATAAACATTAAATTATATACGTAATTTTATAATTTTAATTGATATTTTTATACATTTAATTATTAAATAAATATAATTTTCGAAATTAAAAATTTTTATTAAAAAAAAAAAAAATAAAATAAAATTAAAAAAATTTTTTATTTATTTTATATAAATTAATTTATTAAATAAGAGTTTTACAATTTAAAATTAAAATTTAAATATAAAATATAAAATATTTACTTGATTCTTTTAAATCAGAACAATAAATCTTCTGATTTCTTGATTTTTCTAAATTATTATTATATTATATTATATATATTATTTCATGATGTAGTATTAAAAATAAATATAAAAATTACTTTTTTTGATGAAAGTAACAACTTTGAGAGCAGTAATAACTTTATTAGTAATAGTTTTACAGATGAAAGTAACAGCAACTTTTTTACAGTAACTTTAGAGTAGTAGTAACATTGATAATGATGATGTTGTCAACTTCTATAATAATTAGAAACTAAAATAAAAAAAGAAATAATGATAAATTAAATTCAATATTTTGTTTTTTATTATTTTTTTAAAAAAAACCAATAAAATTACCTAAATTTTCATCATAAATTAAATAAAATTTTGTAGTAATGATGATGAAGTAGGAGAAGAAGGAGAAACATCATCTAAAAAATAATTAAAAAAAAAATAATAAAGATTAAATTTATTATTTTTTTGTGAAAGTTAGTTATATAATTTATACTAATTTTTTTTCTTTTTTTTTAGGCAGAAAGTTATTATTATTATCATCATCATTGTAATTTTCTTTATTTTCTTTATAATTATTATAATTATGATGATATTGTAAGTATTTTTTAATACTTTCTTTTATTAATTAACTTCTCATTCTAATTTAAATTGTCAGATTTCTTTTTTTAAACTATTGTTATAATATAATAATTAAATATTATCCTAATTGATAAATAACAAATTACTTTATATATCTTTTCTATCAAAAATAAAAATAAAATTAGAAATAATAAAATAAAAAAAACATAAAATAATTTAATGTCTTGATTATTTCCAAAAACGTCTATGTTCTTGATATTTCAAATGATGTCTATCATATCTTCTTCTTAAATAAGCTTTTTATATCAAGTCTAAATAAAAATGTATAAAATAAATATATATTTTAATAAACAAATAAAGAATTTAAGATGGGTTATTATCTCTTAAAAACCAGAATTCACTTCTCATCAATTCATAAAATTGAATGACATATCTATTTGAAGATATGCCATTTTTTATTCTTCTCGCTTCTCTTGTATCTTTATTTATAATGTTATATCCCTCTTATTAATAAATACCATTTATTTTGGTATTGTCTTATTATTATTTAGATATTATTTATTTTATTAATATGGATTGCAATTCTTTCTCATAAATCAATATAGTCAGAATTTTTGAATATTCAAAATTATTTTGGTATTGAGCTTTTATTGTTCATATAGAAATTTTTGCAGCTGGACTTTATACATCTATAAGATGATCATTTGAATATTAAGAATGTGTTTTTTTCTGAATTAACTTTGGAATTTTTCTATTTTATTTATAACTCCAGAGAAATTAGAAAAAAATAGATCATTTTATTGTCTGCTTCAAAAAATATACAATATACAAGGAATTTAATTTGTTATTAATAAAGCTCATTATATACTTAATTATAGTAATTTTAGATAAGTTCTTTTTGGAAAATATATGATATTATTATTATTAAATTTAAAAAGTTGAATGTAATTTTATTATAGGGATTCCTAAACATAATTAAGTAACCTTAAAAAAGATTTTTCAATGTCACCCATTATATTATTAACTGCAATATATACAACATCTGATTGAAGACATATGACAAAACTTGAATATTTTACCAAACAATTTTATTATAATTCGTGATTCTTCATTAACACAGCAAGAAATTGAAATACAAATAGAAATAAAAACTTTATAACAAAATCTGTATTCTAGAATTCAAAACATTTTGGCTAATTTTACAATTGAAAAATGTGTTATTTATTGCTTAGATCCAAGTAACTGTCAAGAATTGTTTAATAATTTGAATAAGATCTTTTATTTTTTTTTGGCCTGTATCATAATAAGTTAGATGAAGAACATTGCAAACAATTAATCAAAAATTGGTAAATAGGTAATATTCAAATAATGATAGCAAATATTTTTGGTATAGGAATTAATGCATCAAATATATATTTAATAATTTCATATAACTATTTTATTGTTAATGAGTACATATAACTTTTGGTTATTTTTACATAATAGGTTGTATATTTATTATTATTTTTAATTTAGCAAATTTGATACAAGAAATTGGAAAAGCAGGATGTGATGGAAAACCTTCATAAAATATTGTATTTTATTCAAAAAGTGATATACAAACCATATTTCTAATAATTACATAAAAAGAAGAAAGGTATGAATATTATCAATCATATAGTATATTATAATAAATTTTAATAATTTATTAGTTTACTAGAAGAAAATAATGTGACAAAAAGAATAAGACATTATGAAGGTCAACAAAAAATCTTATAATTAGCACACTTTTGTGAAACAAATATATTTGTCAGCATTCATTAATTGCACAACATCTTCATAGATGAAAGATTTTCAAATGAAGCATGTGAAATATGTGATAATTATTTATCAAATATACGTGATAAACTTATATGGAATGATTTTTCTGCTGATGTAATTAGGCTGCTAAAAATTGCAAAAGAAATTTTGATATCTGAAAAAATATGTGAAATGGTATCATTAGATATCACAGCAGTTTTTTGTAAACTAAAAAGAGTAAATAAAATGGAATTTCAGTTTATAATGAACCATTTGAACTTAAATTAAAAAATAAAGATAATACATTGTTTGTTATAGATAACTTTTGTGCTAAAGGTTTCTTGATTTTAAATTTTCAACTTCAAAAGACAGCATCTTCTACTAGAAACTTTTCATTCAAATCTGTGATCATTGGATTGGATGACAATACTAAAGAAGAAGTAAAATATATTAAATGGAAATATTGTTTTAAACAATAAAATGATTTTCTAAATAAAATTAATACTTTATTCTCTGAATTAATAGTTTATAAAATAAAATTACAACTTTATAAATCTAACATTATC